TCAGGTGCCACCCCTGCAGCTCCCATTGGCCGCGGCTCCCAGGCAATGGGAGATGCGGAGCCAGCGCTCGGGCTGGGGGCTGTGCCTGGGGCTGCGGCCGTCCCTCCATCTAGGAGCCGAGGGACATGTCGCTGCTTGCGGGGAGACGCGCGGAGCCAGGTAGGGAGCCTGCCAGCCCCACGCCAACCGGACTTTTGACAGCCCAGGCAGCAGTGCTGACCGGAGCCGCCAGGGTCCCTTTTCAAGCGGGTGTTCCGGTTGAAAACCGGACACCTGGGAACCCTAGCCAGGATGCTGGCAGCCAGCAAGATTCCTCTACTATTAAAGGTGCAGTGCCCAGAAAAGAGAAGGCCGACATCTCAGTCACATGGCTACATGCGGCCTAGTGCGCAGTGAGGAAAGTTGGCCGCACACACTTGGAAATCAGCAGCAGCTTTATTATGCAACAAACAACTCGATGCCGTGTTAACTCTGGCCCGTCCTTCTGTGACGCTTGGAAAGGCTCCTATGAGAGGGGGAAAAAACACAATAAAAGCAATGATCTTCAGCTGATCTTCCAAACTCTCTGTTTCTAGCCATCCAGCTTGCATCTAAACACTCGACACTCATATTAAAACGACCATCGTTTCCACCTGAAAGGACCACGTTTCCTGCCCCTCTAGGGTTACAGGGGTGTACCCAGGGCCGGCACAACCCATTAGGCAACTTAGGCGGTTGCCTTGGGCGCTAACATTTGGGGGGCGGCGACCGCGGCGGCCGGATCTTCGGCTGCCCCCGTTGTCGTCGGTATTTCGGGGGCGGGACCTTCCGCCACCTAGGGCGGCAAAAACGCTGGCGGCGCTCTTGGGTGTACCTAGAGCTGTAGTGCACGGCCCGTGTCTGTGCTTACCTCACTAGTCCTGGAACAGCTCCTCGGGAAACAGCACCTCAGCCCTTCTGGCCTGGAATAGGAAGAGGAAGGATTAATCATTCAAACACATAACAGCCCATGTCACCGTGGGGCTGAAGGGCT